CATTTAAGTGGAGCCCCAGCAAATGCCATTACTAGCCACTTTCTGACTGGACTTATCAATGGACTGCTGTCCTATATAAATATGACAGACACTTAATTGGTTCCCACAGCCAAAGTGCAGCCACAGGGCCCAAAGCAAACTCGCAATGCCACACCACTGCTTTTAGCTCCAGTGGCAGGATTCCTGCCTAGTCTGTTATTCTGCCATCATTGAGCCATTTTTCACTGATTCTAAATAGATAGTATGATTATTTAATTTTAACAATTCTGCATTGTTTCACATGCTTATCTGTGCCAAAGGTCAAGCTAATTATTTTACAAGATGGAGAAAGAAAATAAAGCTAATCAAAATCATCTTTCCCGACAATGCACTCAAGCCACAAATGTATTTATGTTGGCTGACAGCTGAAATGGAAAGAAAGGAGATGAAAACAGTCATGGGAATCAACACTGGGCAAGATTGTACTAAGGTTCAACATTCTGGAAGTCTACTGAGGATAAACAACATTCATCTTGCTAATAAAGCTCCTTATAGTTCTGAAGAACTCATAAATAATCAACTTTTCAACTGTGTCCTTAACTGATTCGTCCAAGATAGAAATTAGGATGACTGGAAGAGTTAGGAGTGGACAAAGGAGAGTTGGCCAAATCTGTATGTCTCAAAATGTTTGTAAATGGCTAGTTTGCCCCTCTAGTTTGGAAGGGACAGCAGAAGAACAGAGTATTATTTAAATGGAGAAAAACTGCAGAAAGTTGCAACACAAAGGGACTTGGGGGAACTTGTGCATAAAATACAGAAAGCTAGCACATGGGTAACCAGGAACACTAACGGAATGTTGGCTCTTATTTCAAGGGGATTCGAGTAGGGAAGTCTTACTGAAACTGCACAATGTGCTGGTGAGATCACAGTTTGAGTACTGTCAGCAGTTGCTCACACCTTTATTTTGGAAAATATATTATTTCATTGAAGTCAGTTCAGAGAAGGTTCACCAGTTTGATCTTGGCATGGAGGCACTGTCTTATGAGCAAAGGCTATATAGGATGGGACTCTACTCATTGGAGTTTAGAAGAATGAGAGGTGACCTAATTGAAGCATACAGGAATCTTAAGGGGCTTGACAGGATAAATGCTGAGGGTATTTTCCCTCATGAAAGAGTCTAGGACCAGAGGGCATGGTCTCAGAATAAAGGAATGCTACTTTAAGATTAAGATGAGGAAGAAATTCTTCTTTCAGAGAGTTTTGAGTCTTTGGAACTCTTTGCCACAGACAGCTCTGGGGGCAGGATCCTTGTGTATATTTGAGGCTGAGATAGATACATTTTTGATCAGTATGGTATCGAAGGTTATGGGAAATTGCAAGAAAGTGTATGAGAGGAATGTTGAATCAGCCATGATCCTATTGAATGGCAGAGCAGGCTCAAGGGTCTGAACAGCCTACTCCTGTTCCTATTTCTTATGGTCTTATGAAGTTACACATTGTGGTTGAATAAAATCCTGCTGCTCACAATAGCCTGCAACATCTCATTGATAGCGAGGCTTAAGTTGCTAGATCTATCTGAAATCTAACCCATTCAGCATAGTGGTAGCGCCCAGAGCATTAGCCTGCGTCTCTTGATTACTGGTCCAGTCACATGATCACTGTGTCACCACCTCACTCAGTGCTGAGGGGCTCCAGGTTTCCAAAACCTGTCCACCATCCTTAATTAGACTGACAGGCCATTCTTTGGCCTCTGCAAAATAAAAAAAAAATCAGTTGAGTGTTTCTAAGAGTGAAGGGTTGAAGCCTGATTTAACTGAATGCCGGTGTCCCAATGGAACACAGGAAATTCTGCCCCAGGATAAATGTTTGATCAAACAGAAAGGTTTCAAGAAATATTTTAAAGCAGAATAGAGAAGTAGCAAGTGGGGATGTTTAGGAAGATAATTCCTGAGTTTAGGGCAAATCAGAGACCAGAATTGGAGGACTGCAGAGACCTCAAAGGGTTGTAGGCTAGAGAACGGTACACAGATAAGGATGGAAAAGACCACAAAGAGAAATGGATTGGGATTTTAAAAGACATGTTAAATCAGAAGTCAGTGTGGAACAGCAATCAAAGGTGAAGAGTCAATGAGATTTTGAGTAATTTAAACAATAAGCAGCAATTGTTGTCAAAAGCTTCATTTGCATCAAGAAGAATGATGGGGAGGTTTTTAATCATAGCATTAGTCACAAAACAGGACACTCGGCCCAACAAGTCCACACCAACCCTCCAAAGATCATCCCACCCAGACCCATCCCCACCCCCACCCCCCTACTTTTTCCCTGTAACCCTGTATTTCCCATAGCCAATCCACCTAACTTATACATCCTTGGACACTATGGACAATTTAGCATGGCCAAGCCACCTAACCTGCACATCTTTGGACTGTGGAAAAAAGACTGGAGCACCCAGAGGAAACCCACACAGACATGGGAAGAATGTGCAAACTCCACACTGTCAGTCACCTGAGGCTGGACTTGAACCCAGGTCCCTGGTGCTGTGAGGCAGCAGTGCTAACCACTGAACCACCGTGCCGTTCAACTTTAGATTCTTTCCTGCTAGCAGTGAAGATTTAAAATCGTAGAGATAACTTTACAGGCATAAATTTTGCATGTGCATCATAAATGGGCGGCGTTGTGACACAGTGGTTAGCAATGCTGCCTCATGGCACCATGAACCCAAGTTTGATTCCAACCATGGGTGACTGTCTGTGGGGTGTTTGCATGTTCTCTCTGTGTCTGTATGAGTTTCCACCAGATGCTCTGATTATTTCCCATAGTCCAAAAATGGGCAGATTAGGTGGATTGGCCATGGGAAATGCAGGGTGACAGGGATAGGGAAGGGGTGGGTGTGGTGGTGATAAGATGCTCTTCATAGAATCCATGCAGATTCGATGAGCCAAATGGCCTCTTTCTGCACTGTAGGGATTCTATGAAATCTATTGCAGGCTGCAGGAGCTGATTCCTAAAACAATACCTTGTTATGCTTTTTATATCAAGTGTTTTGATAGTGGCACTTTTCAGTGATTTTTAAACTGACAGTAATTTTATATTTATGTTATTTTGTTGAAAAAAAGGCAAAACTGAGCATGCCAGCACTTTTTTTCAATTCATTAATAAGACATGGGCATTGTTGGCTAGGCCAGACTTCACTGCACAGACAGCAGTTAAGAATCAACTGAAGGTCTGAAGTTCACATGTAGGCCAGACCAGTTAAGGTTAGCAGACTGATGGGTTTTTCCAATTGACAATAGTTTTCATGGTCATCATTCAACTCTTACTTCCAGATATATTTACTGAATTCAAATTTCACCATCTGCCATAACAAGATTCCAACCCAAGTCCCAGAATATTTCCTGGGTCTCTGGATTAATAGTCTAGTAATAATACCACTAGGTCATTGCTTATTATACTAGCAAAGTAACTGAACCTACATTTACTTTCAAACTCATATTTATTGACAGAAGCACACTTACCTGGAATTGGCAAGGAACTGTGTCACCTGCAGTTCACAGACAGGCTGCTGCAAAATTTGTGCTGTATGTTGTAGCTGACCTCCAGCCAAATTCTACTTCAGACGAAGGACTACCAGTGGCTGCTAGTGGCTATCACTAATAGATAGGAGGATCAAAACTTTTCCACCCAACACAAACGTTTTGCCTTTTGATCTGTGTAACAGCAGCTCAATGACACCAGTGGGATCTGTATAGACTGGACTTACTATTCTTTAAGTGTGATCTTCAAGTATATGAAAGCTATAAGAGAAAGTTCCATATTGGAGCCCAGGGTTGCCACAGAATCAACTTACGTACCACGATCAGTGTATTGTCAGTGAGAGGTTCACTGCAGATGCCCATGGAGTTGGTTAATCATCTTTGTAGTGCTGTGAATCCACTGGACTAACCACATGGGATGAAGCGTTAAGTACTCAGCATTTTCTTTCTACTGTGAATCCAAAAGCTTCTGGCTCAGAAAGCATTTTCTTTAAAACGCAGTGCCCACAAGTTCCATGTTCCTGCCTACTGTAACCAGGAATGGACAGAAACTAGCTTTGCAGTCAGCAGGTTCCTGGGTCATTACCTGTGTATTTCTTGGTGCTGGTCATGCACATTATTATTTAATTAATCCCTGGAGAAGATTACCTGAGCTGATACTTCTACTGGAAGTACAAGCATAGTGGGCACTGCAGCAATCGTGAAATCGATATATCCAGACTGGAAATAATACCCTCCTGTATCTGGGAAATATACATTGCAACTTTCGTGCCTTTGATGTAAACTTGTCTCTGAATTCCTCTTCATGTTAATTCTGAGCCAAAGGAGCTCAATTTCCATCAACAAATGGAACAAACTATATGCAGCAAAAATCCCTAAACAGTCTTATTTGGTGTGGACTCAAAAGACTTACAAATCTGAACAGTTCGCTTATTCCCAAAGAATTCCACTATTGATACAATACGAAGTTCACATTAATCATAAGGCAGCAATCACTTCCAATTAATCAGGGAATTTTCTCATCAATGGAAGATAACTTTGAAATTATTTTAGGAGCAAGCTTATGAAAGGCAAATACAAAATAAAGACCCCAATGCTGACCTCTAAATATCACAATGATTTGCCCAAGAACCATTACTTTAATAAAACCAGTGTATCATAGCAACTGCTCCAACCACCACGTTGTAAAGGTTTAACATGTTATAATCTTAAAACACTTATACTACTTATAATCAACAATGCCACAGAGATATGCAAATTTTAATCACTGTTTCTGAATACTTACTGCATTTATTTTCTCTCAAGTAGATATTTAACAATTATCAATGATTTTGTCTTATTGATCATATCTAACTTCAGCTCATTAATTCTAGCACCTGTAATTATATTTGCTTGTATATGGTTCACTTATTCAAAGATATCTTAAAATCTGATCACAAAGTGCCTATTCTTTTAAAAAAACAGTCCTCTAAGAGGCCATGATCTTACCTTGGTATTGACATCATCAGCTAATTTCTGATAATCCATTGTAGCTGGGTCAGAGAGTTCTTTAGTGTAGTTCTTCCCAACAAGCTGAACGATAAATTCCAAAACCTGATTTGGTAGCTTCTTTGTACCTTGTTCAATATCACTGGGGGTCTGTGAGGAATCAGGAATAAATTACTTATACGGTCAAAGGCAATTCATTTTGATCTGGCCCAATTTAGCTCAACTCATTCCGTTTGTCAATTAATTGCCAATAGTTTATAACATCACAAATGGTGTACTGTAATGGAGGAAAATGGGATCTAAACATTTCTATAGGAGGGCAAGAGGGATGACATTAATACTCGAGAGGGAATTGGATAATGAAGACAGTTAATGCACTATATTTTGCTCTTTGGAAATTGGAGTTAGTCCAAGACAAGATAAAGGAATGAAAGTCTTCTCTCTCTGAAAGTTCTTAGGATATGGATGTGAAATAGCTTTGAAGAAAACTTAAGCCAATTCCCACTGAGTACTGGCTGAAAAGCACAAATCTGCCTTTTAATACTTTTTATTCTTATTAAGCGATGGTGTCAAAATCTGAATGAATAGTAAATATTTCTTGCTTTTGTCAACATATAACAATATAATTAATGTATTGCTGAAAAAAAGACTTTTTAAGTTTTGTGACTTGCATTCATCAGAACATTTATAATACCAAAGTAAAGGGGAACAATGCTTATACTGTATGAGAAGAGGGTGCTGATTGAATAGGAATGGACTCTGATAAGTAGGAGCACTGCCATGGAGAATGCACGAGTTAAATGATGTCTAACAGTTAAATACCCATCCTGTTTAAATATAATCCAGGTGATTTGATTCTAATTAGTCAAACTATTGCCCTAAGAAATGAGCCAGAGGATAGCCTTTGCCTATTTTGTTTAGTTGAAACAGGTGTAATGTATGTAAATGTTCTTTCTGTCTGCAAAGAGCGGGGCTTTTCTTATTGATAAATTTAGTCTGCAGGACATGTAGGTGCACGACATTGTAAACCCGACTGATGATCTTAAATTGGCTGTATTTGGCCTTACTGTCAATCTCATAGAGAGGACATGAATCATTTCCTCACCAATGAAAGGGTGATGATGGTATAGACCTCACTCGAGCAAGATAATTGCAATCCTGATCAAATCATTTTTCACTGTGCATTGAGGAAACACATTAAAAGGCCTGAGGCTATCATTTTCAATCCTATAACTGCCCAGTATATCTAAAATTACTCTGGAATGTAAGGCATCGAAAAATTTGAGCAATAAGTAAAGCTAGTTGTTTCACGCTGCTACTACACATTAGCAACATGAGTGTTATTCATTACGAACAGAATGCCACTGTCAAGTCAAAAACACATTCTGTCCGTCACAAATGGGTGATGCGGTATGTGAACTAAGAACAGTATGATACAAAGTATATAAATTGTATATCCCAAAGACTTGTGAATTGTATCAATAATATGTCTCTTCAGATGTTCACGACAGGCAAGATATTGATCATTCCCAACCAGCCTATGCTTACAAAACTCAAAACGTACTGTGCATACATTTGCTAAATAATCCTGAGTGTGCTGACAACCAATTTAAATTTGTCAGTTGGGTGCGCAGCATGGTGCACCTGCACATACTGGAAACGATATTTATGAATGCACTGGGCGCTATTCGTCACAGGCATAAAGAAGAGGTACACACATGCTATTGGTCTCAACTCAGCAAATTAGGTGACAGCCATTCTCTGGTTCATTGCTCAGATCATTGCCTTGACCAGAGTCAACATGGCTGTGTTAATTTAAACAGGTTTAGCATTTAACAGTGTGTCCTCAACAAACTGGTGCATTCACCATGGCAAAGCCTCTACCAGAGTCCACTTGCCAGTGCTTCTTAATCATTCTTGCAAAGATTCTGATGAGTGCAAGTAAAAGCTTTGATAAAATGTGTCTTTTTTCAGCAATACTCAAGTTCTGTATGCCAAGCAGCTACTATTATAACTGAAAATGATTCAAATGGAATATTCACTTATTGTTTTGAACTGGTGTTCTCAATGAGTTGCTAAAGTCATTTAATTTGCAACTTTAACTCAGACTAAGAGATTTTTGAAAAACAAATGCCCTTTTCAGATGATACGAATTGATGTAATTATAAACACTTTAAAATAAGACCATAACATGCATTTCATTGATACTGAACAGATGGCAAGAGCCACAATATTGTAATTTCTGTATCACTGTTAAACACTGCTTACAGTTGTTCATGTCTCTTTTATCTCCCAACCAAATTTAAATTATGCTTTAAATTATGCAGTGTATAGAAATGAAACCAATACGAAACAAAAATGAATCTAAATGTTTGGAATGTCAGTCAGGTAGGCTGTGCTGACTCATAGTTACTCAATTCCATTGACCATTATTAGTTCCATAAAATTACCAGCTTAGCCTTCCTGCCATGTCAATTGAACTGCCTCAAACTGGCAAGTCTCAAATATATCATCAATATTTGTCATAAATATCCAGTAATGAATAGTATTCAAAAATCCGAAGTAGATAAACAGATGTTGCCTATAGTTTGGAAATACATTCAGACATTGTGCCGATCATTAATATGAGAAAAAGCTTTTAAGTCGTGGTTTGGGGTGTTTTGCTATTCCTTTTAAATACTGAAGTCCAAATTCCAGCTGCAAGTGACCTTTCTTGTGTAGAACAAGTCAGAATCCCAACAATGTAGCCCCTGGGCAATTTCTCAATTAGGACATCAAGGAAAAGGAGTTCATTTCACTGCCTGATTTCAAAGGTGGATTCGAGAGGAGGATAAGAACATAAGAACATAAGAACTAGGAGCAGGAGTAGGCCATCTGGCCCCTCGAGCCTGCCCCACCATTTAATAAGATCATGGCTGAGCTTTTTGAGACTCAGCTCCACTTACCCGCCCGCTCACCATAACCCTTAATTCCGTTACTGTTCAAAAATTTATCTAGCCTTGCCTTAAAAACATTCAGCAAGGTAGCTTCAACCGCTTCACTGGGCAGGGAATTCCACAGATTCACAACCCTTTGGGTGAAGAAGTTCCTCCTGACCTCAGTCCTACATCTGCTTCCCTTTATTTTGAGGCTATGCCCCCTAGTCCCAGTTTCACCTGCTAGCGGAAACAACCTCTCTGCCTCCACTTTATCTATTCCCGTCACTATCTTATATGTTTCTATAAGATCTCCCCTCATTCTGCTGAATTCCAATGAGTATAATCCCAGCCTACTCAGTCTGTCCTCATAATCCAACCCTCTCAACTCTGGAATCAACTGAGCAAATCTCCTCTGCACCCCCTCCAGTGCTAGTATATCCCTTCTCAAGTAAGGAGACCAAAACTGCACACAGTACTCCAGGTGTGGCCTCACCAGGACCCCATACAGCTGCACCATAGCCTCCCTGTTTTTAAACTCCATCCCTCTCGCAATGACAGACAAAATTCCATTTGCCTTTTTAATTACCTGCTGCACCTGCAATCCTACTTTTAGCATTTCATGCACAAGGACACACAAGTCCCTCTCTACAGCAGCGTGCTGCAATTTTTTACCATTTAAAACAGTCCATTTTGCTGTTATTCCTACCAAAATGGATGACCTCACACTTATCAACATTGTACTCCATCTGCCAGACCTTTGCCCACTCACTTAGACTATCTATATCCCTCTGCAGACTTTCAGTGTCTTCTGCACACTTTGCTCTACCACTCACCTTCGTGTCATCTGCAAATTTTGACACACCACACTTAGTCCCCAACTTCAAATCATCTATGTAAACTGTAGACAATTGCGATCCCAACACTGATCCCTGAGGCACACCACTAGCCACTGACCGCCAACTAGAAAAACACCCATTTACCCCTACACTTTGTTTTCTATTGGTCAACCAATCCTCTATCCATGCCAATACATTACCTGTAATACCGTGCAACTTTATCTTATGTAGCAGTCTTTGGTGTGGCACCTTGTCAAATGCCTTCTGGAAATCCAGATATACCACATCCACAGGTTCCCCATTGTCCAACATGCAAGTAATGTCCTCAAAGAATTCCACCAAATTAGTTAAACATGACCTACCCTTCATGAACCCATGCTGGGTGTTCCCAATGGGACAATTTATATCCAGATGTCTTGCTATTTCTTCCTTAATGATAGATTCAAGCATTTTCCCCACTACCAAAGTTAAGATAACTGGCCTATAGTTACCTGTTTTTTGTCTACTTCCTTTTATAAACAGTGGCGTCACATTGGCTGTTTTCCAATCTGCAGGAACCACCCCAGAGTCCAGTGAATTTTGGTAAATAATTACCAGTGCATTTGCTATTTCCCCCATCACCTCTTTTAGTACCCTGGGATGCATTTCATCAGGGCCAAGAGACTAGTCTACCTTTAGCCCCATTAGCTTGCCCAGCACTGCCTCCTTAGTGATAATGATAGTTTCTAGGTCCTCACCTGCTATAATCTTCTTGCATCAGTTTTTGGCATGTTATTTGTGTCTTCCACTGTGAAGACCGACACGAAATGACTGTTTAATGCCTCGGCTATTTCCTCATTCCCAGTTATTAAATTGGCCTTCTCATCCTCTAAAGGACCAATGTTTACCTTCGCCACTTTTTTATGATTTACATATTTATAGAAACTTTTGCTGCCTGTTTTTCTATTCTGAGCTAGTCTACTCTCATAATCTATCTTGCTTTTCTTTATAACTTTTTTTGTGGCTTTCTGTTGGCCTTTAAAGATTTCCCAGTCTGCTAGTTTCCCACTACTCTTTGCTTTTTTGTATGTGTTTTTTTTCAATCTGATACTTTCCTTTATTTCCTTAGACATCCATGGCTGGTTGTCTCTTTTCCTACAGTTCTTCCTTATCACTGGAATATACTTCTGCTCAGCACTGTGAAAAATCGTTTTGAAAGTCCTCCACTGTTCCTCAATTGACCCACCATAAAATTTTTGCTCCCATTCTACCTTAGCTAACTCCTTCCTCATTCCTTCGTAGTCTCCTTTGTTTAAGTACAGGACATAGGTACTGGATTTAACCTTCTCACGCTCCATCTGTATTTTAAATTCGACCATACCGTGATCGCTCCTTCCGAGAGGATCCCTAACTGTGAGATCATTAATTATTCCTGTCTCATTACACAGGACTAGATCTAGGATAGTTTGCTCACTCGTAGGTTCCATTACATATTGTTCAAGGAAATTATCGCGGATGCATTCTATGAACCCCCTCCTCAAGGCTGCCATGACCGACCTGGTTTGACCAATCGATATGTAGATTAAAATCCCCCATGATAATTGCTGTACCATTTTTACATGCATTAGCTATTTCTATGTTTATTGCCCGCCCCACCACGATGTCATTATTTGGTGGCCTATAGACCACACCTATCAGTGACTTCTTCTCCCTGCTTTTCCTAATTTCCACCCAAATGGATTCAACGTTTTGTTCTGTAGAACCTATATCATCTCTCACTACCGCCCTGATATCATCCTTAAAAATCAGAGCAGCACCACCTCCCTTACCTTCCTGTCTGCCCTTCCGAACAGTTTGATACCCCTGGACATTTAACTCCCAGTCATGAACATCCTGCAACCATATCTCTGTAATGGCCACTAAATCATACCCATTCGCCATGATTTGCACCATCAACTCATCCACCTTGTTTCGAATGCTTCGTGCATTCAGATAAAGTGCCCTTATGCCAGTTTTTGCACCTTCTTTTTGGGTCCTGTTACCTCCATTACTAACAGCTCTTGAGTTCTCCTTCCCTTTAACTTTTTTCCTAATTTTCAATGGAGTTGAAGCTTCCTCGTCACCTGCTAACCTGCTGCTTTGCCTTCTCCCTGTATGCTCACTCCTCCCTTCCCCCCACTTACTAGTTTAAAGTCCTATTGACCACCCTATTTACCCTTTTCGCCAGAACACTGGACCCAGCCCTGTTCAGGTGGAGTCCATCCCAGTGGTATAGATCCCTCCTGTCCCAGAACGGATGCCAGTGCCCCATGAAAAGGAAACCCTCTTTCCCACACCACTCTTTTAGCCACATGTTTACTTCCCTGATCCTCGCCTCTCTATGCCAATTTGCACATGGCTCGGGCAGCAATCCAGAGATTATGACCCTTGAAGAACTGTTTTTTAATTTTGTTCCTAGCTTTTCATTATACCGAAACAGGTCTTTTTTCCTAGTCCTGCCTATGTTGTTGGTACCTGCGTGGACCACAACAACTGGATCCTCCCCCTCCCTCTCTAGTATCTTCTCAAGCCGGTAAGGATGGAGCCCATTGAAACATGTAAGGGAATTCTTACGTGCGGCTGCATCTTCAAACATTGGAAACATGTCAGAAATATACAAGGGGTGACAGTGATCAGATGTTATTTAATTGAACATTTTTCCTGGAAGTCAAGAAAGGTATCTGCAAAAGCTGAGCCTCTCAGGGATTCCATTGTAACACGATCTATTTGGGTTTCCTGGTGTTGTTAAAACTGAACCTTAACTTTGTAAGTTGCTGAATTCAGAGGTTCACTGAATACTGATTTACACAGTGATGGTGGGTCTAGATTGCCGTGAAATTGAGATGCATTGTAAATGTTTCTGACTTCCTTAACTGGTATATTGGTGAGTAGGCTGGCAACGTCAAATGAACACATAGATTGCTAATGATAGGCAAGACCAGCCAATGCATTTTTTTTATCAATACTTAAATTTCATATATTGTTGCTCTTAATTGCATCTCCAAATTTTACCAATTGAATGTTATTTTTTCTTGATCTAATAACTTGCTTACAATTCTGTAGTCAGGAGTCCTGATCAATTCTACTTTTCAGAAAGATTTCGGAAAAATTCGACTGCATTCCTCACCTTTTGTTTTGCTGTGCTCGTGATTCTGTGGCACGTATTTCAATTGCGTGACAATCTGGGCATTGTGGGTTTACCTACAGCGCATGCTCTGCAGAGGTTCAAGAAGGCATCTCACCACCATTTTCTCAAAGGTAACTAGAGATGGACAATAAATGCTGACCTACCCAGTGGTGTACACATCCCACAAAGGAATAAAAAAGAAAAGAGGTGAGTCACTTTCCACACAATTCCCAGTCTCCTAACCTATCCACATTATGACACTACTTATGTGGCAGGTCCAGTGAGTTTCTGGTTAATGTTAAGTCCTAGATTTTTTTGGCGGGAGGGGGGCAGATTTCCTCTTCTTATTGCCTGGCACTTGTGTTTCACGAATGTCACTTGTCACTCATCAAAGTCCAAACCATGGTCTACTACAAGATCTGATAGGATATTCTATATACCTAGAAAGCATAGTGATCAGATTTCTGATCAATCCCTAGACTCTCTACAAATTATGCAGATGGCAGGTAGAGCTTGTAAGACACAATCATTTGCCTGTGGAAAGCATTTGAGATGCTCACCAATGTAAAATATAAAGTAGAAATGATATAAAGAAAGTTACACTCATCATGGGACTTGGCATTTTATTTCTGTTTCTCCGTGACAAATATAACTCTTCAAATCTAAAGGAAGACAAGTACAGAGCTATAATTCCCAAGGCTCTAACTTATCCTGTCTCCCTCCATAACGCACAATAATAGATGTTCCTCCTGTGGTTTGCTGGGTGGTTATTTCACCAAAGGTACATCAACAGAACTATTAAGGTCCTCCTTACAAAATTACAAACTGCATTTTCATTATTCATTCTAATTTGCTGTAAGGCTTCACATGCTATTTCAGGATTATTCTTTGGTGAAAGAATGCCCTGAAGGTTCCGATACTTTCACATTTGGCTCTTAAATCAGGCAAATAAGTCAATGGTTTCATACAATCCAGGATCTCAGAACATATTTACATACAGCACAGAAACAGGTCATGAGTCTGCTGTTTGAGGTATCTAAACAATTTACGCCAATCCTCTTAGAACAGCAGGTGAAAGTTCCATTACAAAATATAAGGAAAATGCACATTCAGTAATTCATTCCTTGATATTTGCAACTTCCCTAGGTCAACTCTCATGTCAGTGATATAGTTCATTGAGAAATCCATGTTAATAGGAATGTAATATCATAAGATCAGTCTGAAGAACTGTACTGACATTGATCTTCATATATTTTAATTTATGCAGAATTTTAACCCGTAAGTCATGATCAAATACTTTCTATTATTTGAAGAATGAAAGAAGACACACCAGCAAAATGCAAGTTAATCACCTTGACTCTCATTTGTCAATGATTTGATTGTTCTTCCATAAGCTGAATTCTAACAGTAACCAAAAGCAACATTTTGATTTGTAACAGAAAATGAAAACAAAAATCTACAGAAATGGACTTACAGTGATCTCACTTTCTTTAGCTCTGATCATTGTGCTATCAACAGAAACTTCATCAGCATCTGGCGCTGAAATACAAGGTAAGCTATTAGCTATTTGAACACTTGACTGTCCTCATTTAGACTTTCCCCCGCTCCATGTCTCAGTTTCCTTTAGTAGCTTCCAACTGTTCAAAGGGCAAATAGAGATGATAGTAAATGTTGGCCATGAGTGTTTGCATCCCAAGCATGAATTAAAACAAAATATCCACCTTGATACAATCAGACAGTGCTATCATTGGTCAAGAGATAAATACAAAATGTAAAGTCAAAAATACCAATGTTTTTCTAAGAGTTGTGATGCAACATGAAGGCCATATGATAAATCATAGAACCACAGAACAAAACAGCATTGCATGAGGCAATTCAGTAAAACATACCCCTGTTATTTAATTGGTCCCCGTTCTTTCCCTGTAGTGGGTAATGTTTTCAACTTCAAGCTATTTCACTATGGAAAATTACTATGGAATCTGCTTCTATCACTTTTTCAGATGGTGCAGTCCAGAGCACCACAAAGTACAGGATACATCCAGTCCTCTGATTACCTGCTCTATCCTGTGCTTTAAGTCAGCACTGTTACTGCTGCAAAACTGCTCTGGCATATCTCAGGCTATGGGTGTCTGCGTGCACATGTACTGTCCCTGAGACCGCTTACTCATTAACTCAGTGCGGAGCTGGAGGAACACAGCAGGCCTGACAGCATCAGAGGAACAGGAAAGCTGACATTTTGGGTCAGGACCCTTCTTCTGACTCAGACTCCAGCATCGGCAGTTCTTACTATCTCTGTTGCTCATTATCCCTATCCCTTCAGTTCTGTGTGTACTGTGACTTCTTTGTTTACATACGTACAGAGTAGATTTTCAAATACAAGTCTCTAATATAGTGCCTCAGATCTCTCTCTTCACATTCTCCTTCTAGACTGGTGTCTACTTTCTTTTTACTGCCTGTCAGTTAATGTGATCAGTTAAATCATCATAACTTACATTAATCTCATTATACCACATCTACCAACAATCTTCTCTCTGCTTGGTCTATATTATCCCAGTTTATTTCACTTAATATATAGATTTTGTTTTCATGAATGTCATTATTAATAGCATTATTACTATTATCACTACTCCACCCCCCAACAAAACTGCCCCCTACCCCCACCATCACCTCCTCAAAATACAAGTCTCACAGATTAAGACAATTTGGAATTCCGACTGGATGTCCCAATCTGTGTTTTTTTTAACTTCAACATTAGACTACAGTGACTTGAATTGTTGCATGACAGTATGCACTGTCTGATGTAGTATGGGTAAGGCTGTCCCACATTCTGTCGTAAACGTATTTGATCTCATTTCTTGACTCAGGCAAGATCAATATAAGGTCTTGATTGGAAACAAAAACAGAAGTTGCTGGAAAAGCTCAGAACATGTGCTCTGAGGAAGGGTTACCAGACCCGAAATATTAACTCTGATTTCTCTTCACAGATGCTGCCAGACCTGCTGAGCTTTTCCAGCAACTTCTATTTTTGTTTCTGATTTATATCATCTGCGGTTCTTTAGTTTTTTTTATTAAGGTCTTGGTTGATTCATTTCTCTGACTTTCAGCCCCTTAAATGAAGTTTCCACCCTGGATTTAAGGTTGATAGAGTTTTTGCTCTGTGCCTCGAGCTGTACCACTTCTGCTGCTTTATGCTGTGGCTTTTTCCTACTTATTTTGTTTTTTCAGTTTTGAGAGATTATTTTTGGTTTGATTTTGTGGTGTAAAATTGAGACATCCATTATAACCCTTCCCCATTAATAATTCCATTGGTGAATACCCATTAAGACCATAAGATGACACTGGAACAGAAGTAGGCCATTCAGCCCATCGAGTCTGCTTTGCTATTCAATGAGATCATGGCTGAACTCATAATCCTCAACACATTTCTGCCTTTTCTGTATAACCCTTGATTCCTTTACTAATTAAAAATCTGTCTATCTCAATCTTGAATAAAATTAACAAACAAGCCTCAACAACTCTCTAGTAAAGAATCCCACAGTCTCACAACCTTCAAAGAAGAAATTCCTTCTCATCTCTGTCTTAGATGTGCAATTCCTTATTCTGAGATTATGCTCTCTGTTCCCAAGCTTTCCCACAAGGTGAAACAATCTTTCTGCATCTAACCTGTCAAGTTCCTTAAGAATCTTGTAAGAGGTCATTTCTCATTCTCCTAAATTCTACAAAATCAAGGTCCAAACTACTCAAATGCTGCTCATAAGATAGTCCCTCCGTTCCTGATATCAGCCTAGTGAACTACCTCTGGACTGCCTCCAATGCCAGGATAACTTTCCACAGATAATAGGCTCAAATGCTGTTTATAGTATTCCAGCTGTGGTCTGAGTAGCGCTTTGCATACTTTTAGTAAAACTTTCCTACATTTAGACTCCATTCCCTTTGAAATAAAAGCCAACATTCAATTTCTCTTCCCTATTACCCAACAAACTTGGGTTATTTTGTGATTCATGGATGAAAACTCCCAAATCCTTCTGTGCTGTATTTTTTTTTCACCATTAGTCAATGATGTTGCTCTGAATCTATACAGAACTAATTCCCAATCTGGATTCTTAGGCATCAGTGATTTTGCAGTCTTGACTGATTTTTACGCCCCTTCATTTGACTGAGGACGCAGTGAAGAGCTTCTCACTTGCTCCAAAGTGAACTCCCTGAAAACCTCATTTCTGAATTGAGGTCGATGGTAATTCTTCCAAGAAACCATGCATCATAAGGACACTTTTCAGTTTTCTTGTCACTGAGTCTACTGTGGTTGTATGAGGCTTGACATTTCAACCCATCTTGATTAATAGTCAACTAGTCCTAAACACATCTTCCCTCCAAAATCAAACAAATCCATTGTTAGCCTTTCCCATGGCCTTTCCAAAATCTTGATGAAATCATTAGCTCTGTAGGCACTTGGCTGAGTATGACACACGTTTGGCACAACAATATGTAATTCTGTATGCATTTCAAAAAGCCTGGCCGCCACACTAATAACATCCTACGCATTTTGTGACACTGTGGAATTTCTATAGGATTTATTTCACATAGACTTTGATTGAGTCATAGAGTCACACAGCACGGAAACAAACCCCTTGGTCCAACTCGTCCATGCCAACCAGGCATCCTAAACTGAACTAGTCCTATTTGCCTTTGTTTGGCTCATATCCCTCTAAACCCTTCCAATACATGTACCTGTCTACATGTCTTTTAAATGTTGTCATTGTACTTGCCTCTACCACTTTCTCTCATTCCATATACGCTCCATCATCTGTGTGAAAAAGTTGCACCTCATGTCCCTTTTAAATCTTTCTCCCTCACTTTAAACCCGACACCCCTGGGTGAGGTGCAGAAGGCTAATGTTATGCCACTGTTTTAAGAAAGGCTGCAATGAAAAGCAAGGGAACTATAGACCAATGACTCTGATGTCAGTGGTGACAAAGTTGTTGAAGGGGATTCTGAGAGATAGGATTTACATGCATTTGGAAAGGTAAGGACTAATTGGAGATAGTCCACATGACTCTGTGCATGGAAAATCATGTCTCACAAATTTGATGGAGTTGTTTGAAAATGTTGCCAAGAAGACAGATGAAAGCAGAGCTAAAAACGTTGTCTACATGGACTTTAGCAAGATCTTTGACAAGGTCCCGCATGGTAGACTGGTTAGCAATGTAGGATAATTAGATACAAAATTGGCTTTTTGGTAGAAGACAGAGGGTGGTGGTAGAGAGTTGTTATTTGTGATCACAGGAGGCGTGTGACCAGTGGTGTACCGCAGGGATCAGTTCGGGGTCCACTACTGTTCATCATCTATATCAATGATTTGGATGAGAGTATAGGAGGTGCAGTTAATAAATTTGTGGATGACACCAAAATTGGTGGTATGGTGGACTGTGAAGAAAGTTATCTAAGAGTACAATGAGATATTGATCAGATGGGCCGATGGGCTAAGAAATGGCAAATGGAGTTTAATTTTAATAAATGCAAGGTGCTACATTTTGGTGGGTCAAACCAGGGCAGGACTTACACAATTAATGGTAGGGCCCTGGGGAGTGTTGTTGAACAGAGGGACCTAGAGTGCAGGTTCACAGTTCCTTGAAAGTGGCATCACAGGTAGACAGGGTGGTGAAGAAGGCATTTGGCACACTTGCCTTCATTGGTCAGAGCACTGAGTATAAGAGTTGAGACGTCATGTTGTGGCTGTACAAGATATTGGTGAGACTACTTTTGCAGTACTGTGTACAATTTTGGTCACCCTGCTACAGAAAGAATGTTGTTAAACTAGAAAGGATACAGAAGGAAATTACAAGGATGTTGCCAGGGCTAGAGAGTTCATTGAGAACTGTTGACATGACAGTTGTCACCTCAATTTCTCTGCTATCCATTCTCCAAGGCTGACTGTTGTCCACTCCTTCGTCTTCCAACAGTTTTTCTCTCCCTTTGGGCTCTATCTTCACCTATCATCTGCTCCTAAGCCACCCCCCCATCCCCCCCCCCCCCCCCCCCTATCCTTTGCATAAAAAAAAATCTTTATCCTAGCTACCAAAAGTTCTGTGGAAGGGTCACTTGACCCAAAATGTTAACTCTGATTTCTCTCTACAGATGCTGCCACGCCGGCTGAGCTTTTCCACCAATTTCTGTTCTGGTTTCTGATTTCTATCATCTACAGTTCTTTTTTATTTTATTTGGGAAAAACTCTTCACCCCAAAGGGTGGTGAATCTGTGGAATTCCCTGCCCAGTGAAGCAGTTAAGGCTTCCTCATTGAATGTTTTTAAGGCAAAGATAGATATTAGAAAGTAAAGGAATTAAGGATCACGGCAAGCGGGCAGATAAGTAGAGCTGAGTCCACAGAAAGATCAGCCATGATCTAATTGAAGGGCAGAGCAGGCTTGATGGGTGAGATGACCTACTCCTACTTCCATTTCTTATGTTCTTATGATCTTTACAATATTAAATTCTTTCTGGGGAAGCAGACTGAGAAAACGACAAGTTCTGCTAGAATGGGGTTTGACAATAAACTTCAATTTCCCTTTCTAATTAAGATGCCTAGTTATAGGCCAAGAGTCTATCATTCTCAGTTAAATCAAGCAACCTCTTCCTGTCTCCAAAGAAGTCCATGAAGCAAGCAGCAAAGGTCTGGATTAGTGTATCATGGTGGATATGCTAATGTATGCCTCCTCCCTTGAAACTCAACCCCACTGAAATTTATTTTGACTGTTATAGGTCTCAATGTTTAGGTAAATAAAAAGCAATTTAAAAATAAGTGCACAGACCTTCTCGTGTGGAGTTTTCAGTTGAAGCTGCATTCATGATTGTGGTAGTCTCTAGACTAGGAAGGAAATTGTACCTTGTTTAACAATTTACAGACACATGGAAAATCATGTTGGGCAATATATTTTGGTAAAGACAATAGCCCATTTTGTTTTGCACAGATTACTGCTTGTGTTAAAACGTTTGGGTGAAATTTTTTTACCAGATATTGCACAGTGCAATTTTAACACCATACCGAAATGCAGGTTTTAAGTTTCAATTTTTAAGAAAAATGCTTAAATTCTATGCATCATTTCTGTATATTCTGAGCTCAAAAGTGAAATATAAACTTACATGCACAAGTCTTCATTACTTGAACTTGCAAGAAAAAAACAAACATTGTTAATTTTTCTAACTGGATTAATTAATCCCTAATTTCAATGTTGCAATTTAAGATATTATTAACCATGGAAAATGTGTTTTATAGTAATCTACAGACCTGCTCACTGTTTCTGCCTGTGGAGATAATTTCTGGGGAGAAAAAATAAACTTCTTATTAGAATTGTGTAAAAATATACATATCATAAATGACTGTACCATTCAGTAAATAAGTGTTTTACAAATAGAATGTTCATTTAAACCTAATTTTGCAATTGAAAAATTAAAATGAATTAACTACATCAGAAAGCTACAATAATAAACTTTGTGTTACATTATTTAGAAATAAGGATGGGTAGAACATAAGAATTGCACTGCCTGGTACAGAGATGGGTAAAGTTACAAAAATGGAAGTAAGCAGTCATTGCAAAAAGACTGTGAGATTTAAAGTTCAGCTCTAGACTGGTGGCCTTGCCTTGTATAATTCCAGTCATACGCTATTGTTTAACTAATCTAAAAATACACTTACAGTAATTCATCAAGCTAATGTAATGTTAACCCTGAGTTATCCACCTCTCCTTTCCTACTACAGTCATAATAATGATTACCATGACACAGGTCCTTAACTAATGACCACATAGTTACACTGTCTAGCAACAATCACTGAACAGAGATTAGTGCGGACCTTGACTAATTCCCCCTCCTTTAGGTGTGTTGAGTGCAATTATATTATATTGTCCTGGCTTAAGTCAACTAGCCAGTAATTCACTTTGTGTGCTTTGTGTAAAACATGCAAACAGTGAATAAGCCTTTGCTTCATCAATTTCATTTTGAATACAGATATTTGATTTGAATTTACTGTCATTTCCTTTCTGCATACCTTCTCCATGCAATTCCTCTAATAAGAAAGGTAAAGATAATTCTGCAACTGATTTCATTTTTGGTGGTGACCCTAATGAAGTGTCAGGCCTTCATGTGGGGAACATCTAAGTAATAGTATTCACAATCCTATTAAATTCAATTTTGCCAGGTTTGCTGAAAATTTAACTGTAGTTCCAGATTTCAAAATGAAAAGATAACTAATGACGGCACAAGAATCAAACTGGACAAATAGAGGAAGTCTGCTAAGCAGGGAAATTACTAACACTGAATAAAAATAGAATACCTTCTAAAACTATTCAAAAGCAAAGTAATCTATGTTATATTCACAAAGTTAAAATAAGGACATATGGTCAAACAAAGGCAAGCATGAAACAGGTCAACTGCATGGTCACTTCAGCAAAAATACTTCTACACGTTAATGAAAATAGTTCTCAAGTGAAATAAGATCATTTGTGACTTTAGTTATAACAACACAAGCTGCTATTAGGGTAACAAAATATCCTTTGAGAAGGCAGCGGATAACTGAGAGGCTAACATTTCTGTCCTCAGCTTGCTGCAGTGCTCTATTGAAGTCCAACACGAGCTGCAGAAATAGCATCTCATTTTTCACTTAAGCACCTGATGGTGAGCTGCATTCTTGATTCACTGCAGTCCATTTGTTGTAGGTACACCCACAATGCTGGTAGGGAGGAAGTTCCAGGATTCTGACCCAGCAACACAGGGAATAGTGATAAATTTCCAAGTCAGAATGGTGTGTGGCTTGGAAGGAAACTTACGGGCGGTGGTGTTCTAATGCATCTGCTTCCCTTGTCTACGCAAATGATAGAAATTGAGAGTCGAAGGAGCCTTGGTGAATTTCTGCAGAGCAGCTTGTCAATGGCACATACTTTGCAATTGAGCATCAGTGGTGAAGGGAATGTATGTTTGTGGATGTGGTGTCAAACAAATGGGTTGCTTTGACATGGATGGTATCAAGTTTCTTGAGTGTTGTTGGAGCTGCACTCATCCAGACAAATGGGAAATATTCCATCATGTGCCTGACTTATGTATTGTCGATAGTGGACATTGGGGTATCAGGAGGTGAATTACACATGACAATATTCCTAGCCTCTGACCTGCTCTTGTAGCCACCGTATTCATATGGCTGGTCCAGTTCAATTTCTCATCAACAGTAACCCCTGGAATGTTGATAGTGTGGGGAACCAGTGATGGTAATGCAATTGAATGTCAAGGGCTGATAGGTAGATTCTCTGCACCTGGAAATAGTCTTTGCCTGGCACTCCTCTAGCTCGAATATATTTTGCCACTTGTCAGTACAAGCCTGAATATTGTCCAGAACTTGGTACATTTAGACATGAACTGATTCAGTATCTGAGGAGTTGTGAATGGTGCTGAATAATGTGCAATCACGAGTAAAATTCCCCATGTTTGACCTTACGATGGAGGGAAAGTCATTGACGAAACAGCTGAAGATGTATGGACCTAGGTGTATTCCCCTGAGGAATTACTGCGCAGATGTCCTGGAAGTGCAAGACTGATCTCCAAAAACTAAAACCATCTTCCTTTGTTAATGAGTTCAGCCAGAGAAGAGATGTCCCCCTGATCCCCATTGATTCCAATTATGTTACAGTTCCTTGATGCCACACTCAGTCAAGTGCAGCCTTGATGCCAAAGGCAGTTACTCTCACCTCATCTCTGGAATTTAGCTCTTTTGTCCAAGTTTGAATCAAACCAAATAAAATGAGGTCAAGAGCTGAGTAGCCCTAGTGAAACGTAAACCGGGCATCACTGAGCAGGTTATTGCTGAGTAGGTGCTGCTTGATAGCACTGTTGATGACACCTTCCATCAATTTGCTGATATCAAGAGTAGACTGTTGGGGCAGCAAGTGGCTGGGTTGTATTTGTCCAGCTTTTTATGTACAGGACATACACGGACAATTTTCCACATTGTTGGGTAGTTGCCAGTGTTATAACTGTACTAGAAGAGCTCGACAAGGGAGGTCATTCTGGAGCACAGGTCTTCAGTACTGTTGCCAGAATGATGCTAGGGCCTATAGTCTTTGTAGTATCCAGTGCCTCCCACCATTACTAGATATCAGGTGGAGTGAATTGAATTGACTGAATTCTGGCATCTGTGATGCTGGGGAGCTCCGAGGAGGCCGAAATGAATCATGCACTTGGCACTTCTGCCTGAAGATTGTTGTAAACACTTCAGCACAACTTTTAGTACTGATGTGCTGGGTTCTTCCGTTGCCAGGAATGGAGATATTTGTGGGCCCTCCTCCTTCAGTGAGTTGTTTAATTATCCACTGCCACACACGATGCGATGTGAACAGAACTGCAGAGCTTAGATGTGTTCAGTTTATTGTGGAAACATTTAGCTCTGTCTGTCACTTGCTGCTCATGCTGCTTGGCATAAGCATTAGTTCTGTTTGGTAGCTTCAACAGGTTGACACTCATATTTGAGAATGCCTGGTGCTACTCCTGGCATGCCCTCCTGCACTCCCCATTGAACTATGGTTGATCCCTTGGCTTGATAGTAATGGTGGAGTGGGTGATATGCCAGGTCATGAGGTTGCAGATTGTGTTGGAATACGATTCTGCTGCTGATGGCCCACAGCACTTCGTAGATGCCCAGTGTTGAATTGCTAAATCTGTTCGAAGTCAGGCCCATTTAGCACAGTGATAGCGCCACACAGCATAATGTAAGTATTATCAGTATGAAGGTGGGACTTCATCTCCACAAGGACTGTGAAGCGGCCATCCTCACCGATACAGTCATGAACAGATGCATTTGCGGCAGCCAGTTTATGAAGGAAGAGGTCAAGTATGCTTTTTTCCCTCTTATTAGTTCCCTCACCACCTGTTGCATACCCAGTCCGGCAGCTATGTCATTTAGGACTTGACGATCCTGGTCAGTAATGATGCTGCCAAGGCACAATTTGTGATGGACATTGAAGACCCCAATCTGTACCTTGTCAACGTCAATCTTCCTCTACATGGTGTTCAACATGGAGGAGCAGTGATTGAGCTGGTGGGAGTGATCAGTACGTAGAACTCAGCAAAGGGTTTCCTTGCCCATGTTCGACCCAGTGCCATTAGACTTCTGGGGTCTGCAGTCAAATGTGAAGGACTCATAAGACAACTCGATGAATCCAACTGTGCTGCCACTGTGCCATATCTGTCCTGCCAGAGAGACAGGACATACCCAGGGATTGTGATGATGATGACATTGGCTAAATCTGAGTTGCGGATTCATTGGAGGATTCATTGCTGCGAGGTCTAATTATTTCTCTTGCCGTATTTTATCAAACTCCTCATTAATTGCCTGCCTATCCCTATGGCATCTCTCCCATCTAATTTCCACCCTGTTTTACCATGCCATGAGATATCCTGGAATTGACTGGCATCCCTACCACTTGCACCAGTTGTGCACCCAGACAAGTGCTGTCAGACTGGAGCTGCCACGACACCAGACTTTGCCATCCTGGCCTCAGGTTGCCAACTGGGCTCAAGCAGTCTCAGCTGTCTGGAGGAATGCCCAGCGCTGTAGGGAGAAAGACAATGTCCTTCTCCACTCCACCTGGGTATGTACCACCATCTTTTCTCCAATGCCTAACATTCACTCGATCCCTACTGTGCCCACCTCTTATCGAGGCTCATACTCCACCATTCTCATTGTTGCCTCCAATAACTTTTTCTCACCCACTGCCCCCTCTGACACCGCTACCCTGCATGCCCTCTGCCCTACTTACTCACTAGTATAGGTACACCCCGCCGCTTGCACCAACAGTAACAACTGTGCCACTCACTTTCATCTCCCTTAATGTTTGCCTCTCTCTCGTTCCATGATGAAAACTGCCCATAATAGGGCAGAACAAGTCAAGACAGTTTGTGAGTTACCCAACTTTTCAATTTCTCATCTCTTAAGAGACGATCCTGACTCTGATCACACCAAGCTGCTGACTGACCATGTCCAAGCTCCTAGACTGATATCAGAGGTTGCCCCTGACTTGCTGTGCCAGGGCCCCCTTACTGAAGGCTAACTCCCTTGACTTGATAAGCACTACTGACAACCATGATAAGCTTCCTGGTTTTCTGTTTGGTCTAAACAGCAAGGTAACGCAGTAATGCTGTGAATCTGCTATGTCTGGCTGAGGGGCAAGGTGCAAAAAGAAACAGCAAGGCAGGAATGCTGTGAGCATCCGAGTAGGGTCCAAGCGAGTGAGAGTTAACAGAGCGATCGAAAAGCCCGGAGATGCAGCATTGTCCAGTCCGTGAGCAGGTGCATGTCCCTAAGCTGCAGCATTACAACTACAGTTGCAATTGTGCAGAGAGGTGCAGCACTGAAGTGCAGGAAGGTACTATAAGTGGATCGAAGGTGTGCAAAAAGAATTCTTAGAGGCTGCCACATTTTAGAAGCCAATGTCCATGGATGATATGGGATGCATGTTGCCAGGTATCCATTCTGACTTCCAAGTCAAGAATTATCAGCATCTAGTCTGCCTGCAGCAAATGCTAAGATAGAAAGCTGCATATTATGGATGTGAGATCCACAGTTAATCAAGTATTTTCTTTAATATGCAACCCACCACTGCTTGAGGAGAATCTCTCCTCGACGTCCAGAATTTAGTCAAAAGGTGCAGTGAGTTGTTTACAACATGGAGATGGGACTTTTCACATGATTCTCTCACCATAGCCTACACCATTCAGGCTCCTGCAAGATTCCAGCCCATGAAACTACCTTTGATAGTGGTTTAAAAAAAGAATCTTATTCACTACTGCCTGTGAAGGAAACAAACCTTCCTGCCTTATATGTTCTGGCCTATATGTGACCCCAGACCCACAATAATCTAGTTGACTCTGAAGTGGCCTATTAAGCCGTTCTGTTAAAGGAGATTAAATACGAATAACAAACGCTGGCCTGGTGATATCCACATCCCAAAGAACAAAATAAATGAAATACTGAATACTTGTCTTTTGTAAATGGCTAACTCTTTTTAAAATGGCTATTAGCATGGTAGAAGCATTAAATTCAGGGGTTATCTTGGGCAAAAAAAGCTCTACTTATATGAGTCATTAGGTTACTATGAATAACCAACTCAGTGACTCCATACAAGGGAAATACTTCATTATGTTGCCAAACTCACTGTGTGCCTGTTTAGAAATAGAATGCTCTTGACATCCAAAACTCCACAAAGCATACCATAAGGATGGTGTAACATCTTTTCAGCAGAATTATAAAAACATCTGTTGTGTGAAGTATATTTAAGAATATTGGCAGTGAAATAATCCATTTTGATGGTGTTTAATAGGAGAATAACAATTGTACAGTGGAAGCTGCCTACATTATACATTTCTAAATTCTTATCACTCTCCTGTGGTCCTCATTGTTGGTTTGGACGAGGAACCTAATTGCAAAACTGTCCTGATCTGGCCAGTTCCTGCATTATAGTGAACAAAAATTTTGTTTTGGCAGTGTTTATCATAATCAGAGCAGGTGCAGAGACAGAAAGAAACAGAATCATGTAAACACATGTTACATTCCAAGTCCTTTCAAGGTACTTAAGGATCAATGATAAATCCTATCTAACTCGACATCCTACTTGTGCCATTTTACTTGTAGATTATTTGCTAGTGCTCCATATACCTATAAAAGTGCAGCCATCTGACATCTTAAGAGAATGGACTATAGGTATACCATGCCAGCTGGCCTCTTTCAGAAAATGAGTCAAATGTTCCAATAAAATTCAGACTCTCTTGAGAAGCACTTAACCAAGTTTTATACCAATTTAAGACAATGTTGTGTCGAATCATATTCTCCCACATTCACAACACAGTTTATGGATTAAAAGGTGAGCACAATCGAGAGTTCTGTAGACCAGGTAAAAGTTAGTTTGGATCCCTGTTTATGCTGAGTTACATGATCTGTGATGGGGTAGTGCTAACAGTATTATAATTTACGCTACGACCTTTAGCTGGAGAAGACAAAAGGTAGCCAAGCTGCCTCTCACTGATTGTCTTCCAGTGTCCCCTGCTGGAAGCAAGTGTGTGTAAATGTCAAAGGAGTACACAGCCAAATAATAGGACCCCCACAATCACTGGCCAGGTCCACACTTGAGGAATAACCAATTGGACAAAGAACTGGTGGGTGACTGCTGCCAATGGACCTACATCTTAGCATGAGTCAGTCTTTATAAAATCGGGATGGAGAAAATGCAAAGGAAAGATTAAAGTGGAAAAAAGCTGGTGGAAAAATTGAAGGAGAAATTGTGAAAGAAAACAAGAGTTATATGACAGAACAATAATCCAATTAATTACAGAGAAATGTTACATTTCAATTACAATACAAGAATTACCTCCTTCATCAGGGTTTGGTGTTCCTCTGATTGGCTGAAATTTACACCAATGTCAAAAATATTTATGATTCCTTGATCACACATATTCATCCAGGCTTCATGTTCATGGCTTGCAGGTAGCCTGTCCCAGAACGTTTTGAATGCTTCCCATACTGCCTCCTGGCACACTAAGAAACATAAGCAGCAAGTAAGATATCTGGTGATTCTCAAACTTTTTCATAAATTCACAACAAAAAATGCTCAAACCTGAAATGCAATATGAGATGCAAATTCAATTTGAATAGTGAAATGCATTACTGACTGGAGTGTGTGTTTGTTTTTTAAGATTGGCTTGGCATCTAACAACTGTAGAAATCTCTCAGCATGCTTAGTAGTCTGCAAATGAACCCATTGAGAATTTAAGAGTAGTTGCTCACCAGCAAGTATACATACTCTCCCTAAACTCAGGCAACTTGGCAACAACCAGAGGGAAACAAACCCTAAGTGTGCACTTAGTGTTGCATGAATTTAACCATCCAAAGCAAATTTAAGGTCCCCCACTGCCTGGATGATGCAATGTACAGCTCAAATTATTACTTCTACTATGGACGGTTTCTTCTATCCAACCTTCTGTTTGCAAGTGTGGCATCCAAAAACAACCCTGATCACAAAGGCACCGCACAATCTCCCAAAAAAATCATTAATAGATGTCCATTAGACAACTGACAAGTGCAAATTTGAATTTTTACTAGATGGAGAGCAGATTCCAGGACCTTCTTCATGAAAATAACATTGCAAACTATGAAAGGCATCAGTCTGTAACTATCATTCTCCTAACCACACAGTAGACACATATCTATTGAGCAGCATTTTAATCAGTTGGTGGTGCTGAATATTAAGGCACTAATCAATCAAGGTCAACTCTGCAGGATGGGGATGGGGCATGTTCTTTTGGAGGCCTGACACCAGGCTCCCAGAGAAATTGTTTTACTTGGAATTGAGGTGAGCAGGAGAATAGGAGGGCAGCAGAAATGTTCTACGGACATCGCTAAAGCTTCACTGAAAAGGTCAAACATACCCGCCGACTCATGGGAAATCCCAGCTTTTGACCAATCAAAATGGAGGAGGTTCATTCAGTAATGCACTGAATTTATCGAGGAGCTTCATCAGGAAAGTGCAGAGGAGAAGACGAGGCTCTGGAGGGATTACACCAGCTACCAAATGATTGACTTACTGAACCACTCAAACACCACCTGCCTGACCTATGGCGAAGTCTGCAGATCACACACTAAACTTCTCAGAGCCCACCAAACTGGAAGGAAAGCAAGTCATCCTCAATCCTGAGGAACTGACTACAAGAGGTATTGAATACGGAGAATAGAGTTCAGTAAAAAATGTCAGCTTCCTCAAGATTCACTCAGGTTAGGCATCAGACCTTTGTTCTATGATCTTGAACTCAACAGTTAACAATGCCCACTAGCAACCCTTGAACAAAAGTTCCAAATGTCCTCATCAACAATAGGATTAGAAACTCGGTATCATTAATGGACTTGTGCAGGACAGTTAACAAAGTGCCAGTCACTTTGATGTTGTAGACCTATATGCCACTTTACTTGTCACTAACTGCTTAATCCTTGTTCAGGTTCTTTAACAAGATGACATGTTCTTTAAAGTTCACAGAATCACTATACCTACTAACAATCAATTAGATTGAATGGATTTTATCACTTCTGCTTGTACTGCATTGGAAACACACACTGACCTGATTGTATGTTCTGACTGGGTCCTCAAGTGAACCACTACAATGTTGGTGAGGGTGGGCAGCAAGCTCAGCACAAAGTCCTGTGTCAAATTGGAGCTGGGTTCCTCCATACTCTGAGATATTAATTGTGGGTCTCTTTGTGGACTTCCAGACTCATCAGCCTTGTTCTGCAGCCTGCTAGACTCAAGTCTTCATCTGAACTCTCAGCAGCAAAACTGAACATGTATGCCATTAACCTCTGGTGACATGGCACCAGCATTACCGCTGTCCCCTGGCTGTCAACTACTTACGTCCAATGTCTTGTCACAGGTTCCACCTTTAAGCCATTCTCTAAAGTATGTAGACTATCTCGGCTGGTGACAATGCGGGTGAGTGGTGGTATTTCTTCTGCACCACTATCAGCCTGCAGCCCACCTTTTGTTTTTTTCTTCATCAGTGCCAGACCAGTTTATGGTTCTTCGATATCTGAGAGGAGGCAGCACACTGATAGGATTGTGGGGAGGAAAGAAGCAAGAAGTGCATGTTTACATTGTCTGCTGCTTGTAAATCAGAAGAGATTGTATGATGAAGGGGAAATGAGATTTGAGAAGCAGTATTATGTATGAGGATACTGTCAGCTTTCGGGTTGTCAGCTCCACAACTTGCAAAGGCCGCAGACTTGGCCTTTCCAATGATAACAGTTTCCATCTCCTCCACTGAGGTGAGGACAAGTAGCCATACCTGCCCTCCCACTGTATCAGCTGCTGCTTCAGGTTATGAATTCCCTTTTCACGCAACCGAGAGGGAAGTATGTCAATGAGTGAGGTGCAATGTGCTTATATGTTGTGGCTGTCATGGTTGAATAGCTGACAGTGCATGCAAGCTATGATATATGAGGCTTGCAGCAGTGTTGAGAATGTGAGGATGAAGCAAAACTATGAATGTGAGCTATAAGTTGTGATTGATGGAGGTAGTTGATAGGTGAACGATGGTCATGCGGTGCATTTTACAGTGTGTGAAGCTAGAAGTGGAGTGATAAGTGATACTTAAAGTCACATTCACTGACCTAGATGACTGGTGTGAGGTGACTGAACATTGTGCAGCACTGCACCCAGGTCCTTGGGGCTAGATTCTTGGTATTGCCAGGACACGCAAATTTCACAAAGTTTGTCTGGAGTAACTCCTGGCCACCTGTGGATAGATGACAGCTTTCTTCCTCTCCAGCTTCAGCAGCAAGGCCAACGACCAGTTGGAAGATCTTGGAGCCCAGTGCCAGCCAATTTTGAGTATTCACTTTGGCAAAAATCTCTTTCAAAAGACTTCCAGTACCTTTATTAACCACAATGCACCTCCTTTATGAGGTGCAGAATGGCAGTAAACAGGATAAGGTACCTTTAATCCATTGTGGCTTGATTCCATGACTTCGTGCTTCTTGTTCAGGCATGCAACCAATAAAGAATGAGCTGAGATTTAGCAGCAACTACAATCATTTAATTTAGGAGGCAGCATTAGATTTACCAACATCAGAAACAATCAGGATAGGCTAATCCTGCATCAGCATGCCAATGTCTGTATTCAAGTTCTGCCCAATTTCATAATTAGAATGTTCAAACTTATTCAGAACCCACAATTCTCACAATATAGAAAGCTATGATACTGTTAAAATGTCTGTGTATCTTGTGTATTCAGCAGGGTCTTCCATGATCTCTCTGATCTGGCTTTCTTGTTTTATTTTGTATAAATGATTGAAATCAAGTAGGTGGCTGTTAGGGAATAAATTTAAAACCGATTAGAACAGACAGGACTTGCCCCTGTACACCATGATCGTATGAAAAGTAATGAATTTCACTGGAATTTACAATAATGCATATTCAATTTTTATTGTTACAAAATCTAAATCTTCGCCGAATATAATGAAAGAAGACAGTTATTTGGTTTTGTTATGGTTTCAACCCCCCCCAATATCGACATCCTGGAGGTTATCATTCATCAGAAACTCAACTGCACCCATCACATAAACACAGTGGCTACAAGGGCAGGTCAGAGGCTTGGAACACTGTGGCAAATAACACACATCCTGATTCCCCAGAACCTGTCCACCATCTACAAGGCATAAGTCAGGAGTGTGATGGAATATTTCCCACTTGCCTGGATGAGTGCAGCCCCAACAACACTCAAGAAGCTTGACACCATCCAGGACAAAGCAGCCTGCTTGATTGGTATTACATCCACAAGCATACATTCCCTCCGCCACCAATGCTCAGTAGCAGCAGTGTGCACTATCTACAAAATGCACTGCGGAAATTCACCAAAAATCCTCAGACAGCACCTTCCAAACCCATGACCACTTCCATTTAGAAGGACAAGGGCAGCAGATATATAGGAACACCACCACCTTCAAGATCCCCTTCAAGCCACTCACCATCCTGACTTGGAAATATATCGCCATTCCTTCACCGCTGGGTCAAAATCCTGGAATTCCCTCTCTAATGGCATTGTGGGTCAACCCACAGAAGATGGGCTACAACGGTTCAAGAAGGCAGCTCACCACACCTTCTCAAGGACAACTAAGGGACAGTCAATAAATGAAAGCCAGCCAATGATGCCCACATCCCACAAATGAATAAATTTTAAAAATCATTAATTTACAACTGCCTTGAATATTCTTTCACATACAGTAATAGTGAGCCCTTCTATAAGCAGTCTGAACAGCTTACATTCAGAAATGTGCCTACACTACATAATGATTATAATACAATTATACTATAGTTTTACCTGATATACAGAACAACCTGAGGGACATGACATCAAGTCTCCCTATGAACCAAACTGGATATTATATTGTTCATACGTGCCCTTCTTCAATTACTTTGAAGATGGACGTAAGCAATTAGTGAGACCAGGCCAGGTACAAATTGATGAGCCATTTCATCTTTTAACATAAAAACCGAAAGAAATGCGGATGCTGTAAATCAGAAACAAAAACAGAAATTGCTGGAAAAGCTCAGCATCTGTGAAGAGAAATCAGAGTTAATGTTTCGGGTCCTGCAGAAAAACAGAGACAATTCAATCTCACTTTAATCTTTCTAACCATAGAAGTCTCCTTAGCAACAAAGATACCAAAAAGCACATTGCATTATCTCTACAAATTAGCTTTATTAACTCTTTCCTCGTTAGACTTCTGATTCTGTCTGACTTTGTTTTTGATATGTGCCTCACTGGGCTAAGCTACCTCATCAGCCTCAAACAAACAGAGATAATGATGAAGTAACTGAGCAGGTCTGGCAGTATCTGTGGAGAGAGAAAGAGTTAATATTTTGAGTCTGGTACGATTCGTCCGCATCAGTCCAACTGGTGGGTTAATTGGCCATTTGTCTCCGTGCCAAATATTACCTGGAGGTTTATAGTTCATGACCAGTGTTGTCAATGCGGAATACCATTAAAATATTTTATCCAACCACAGTAACTTCTAAGCTGTTATGTAGCCATGTACACAGAGTTTAGCAGGAATATTGCTATGTGCCTCTATATATCTTTCTAAATACCTAGCTCTGTGAGAGGGATAATTTTTGACTCCTTCACAATCAATGACTCATCATTAGGCTCACTGAATAAGCCAACTACCACCTTCCTTCTTAAAATGCAAACTTAAATAATGTTGAGAGGGGTGTGCTATGAGGAGAGATGAAGTAGAATAGCCCAATATCATTGGAATTTAGAAAAATAAAATGTTATCTCCTTGCAATGTATAAAATTCTGGCAGGATTGACAGAGATTGTTTCCTTTGGCTGGACAATACTGAGCAAGAGGCACAATCTCAGGGTAAGTGGTTTGATATTTATGACTGCGATGAGGAGGGTTGTGAATTTTGGAATTCTCTACTTCAGGAGCTGTGGTACCTCAAGTCAATGAGTTTATTCAATACATAAATCAAGAGATTTGGGTAAGAAGTTAAATCATGAGATATAGGGTTGGGCAAGCAAGTGGAGGTAATTTAGATCAGTAATGACCAACTATTAGGTCCCGAACTTACTATTAACACCCATTCTGCATCTATATCCTGCCTCTCATGTCATTAGCCCTCTCCTTCTCTTTTGCTTTGGGCACCCTCAGCATCTATTCCACTTGCTCCTCCTCCCCATTTGTCAACTGCATAAGAACAATCATTTTCCAGTCCACTTCAGATCCAAAGAAGAATCACATTGGACTCGACACATTAACCTTATTACCCTCTCCACAGGAGCTGTTTGACTTGCTGAGTTTGTTCAGCACCTTCTATTTCTATTTTAGGTTAGCCATGATGTTATTGCAAGATTGAGCATGCTCGAAGTGTAACATGGTCTATTCCTATTGCTATTCTTCTTGTATTTAAAAATCTCTTGCTATTATCAGAATGAATAAATGACATCCTGGCTTAGTGGAGTCTCATTTGACCCTGATCAAATCAGTCTGCAAGGGACTAAATGCAACGTTTCACAATCTAACTCATCTGGCTTTAATACATAATGTTTATGCCAGCAGAAATGCATTTTTTTAAACACAAGACTAAAACATAGATCACTCCTAAATCATTTCTGTGAAGAAATAAATTCAAAAAACTCCCAAAATATGACAGGCACACACAAATGGACAGAGGTATTACACAATAGTGACATGTCACTGATGTGGGATTGGGTAAATTTAAATAAGGAATGGGAATTTTCTTACCTCTCAGCTTATAATATTTGAGATAGTTGCCAATGGCTTGTGAGATTGTTTCCTCTGGGCATAGTTTAACACCATTCGGAAATAAAACGGATCGCTTTTGTCTGTAAATCAAATATTTCGTTTGCTTGTCACTCACAGTCACCGGAGATTGAATGTTGCGAGGAGAAAGACTTCTGGAGCCTTTGTGCAGTCTACTCTCATCTGTTGTTGTCTTTAACACAACTGCAACAGAAAAATTTAAATGGTCATTTTGTTGATCTAATTTTTAAGGCATTATACGTTAAATAGCAGCATTTCCACTCTGAATACGTGTTTTACAATACCTAACTATTTAGACACCGTGACTATTCACAAAGTTAAAAAAAAAATCAGAAAATATGAGCACTCCTCCCACAACCCCACCAGAAAAAATATTAAGAATTAACAGCCGCATTAAACAAAGGTAGAATTTGATTTATCGGTGGATAGAGTCAGACAATGAAATTCCCTTCAAAAAATTTGTAAAAACTGCTGAATCCCATGTGATTATAAGTATAATGCGGCTTGAGTTGTCACTAGACAACATATCCTTCAATATTTTGTGTCTAATTGTGTGTGTTAATCAAGAATACCTCATCGTCACAGCACTAGCCACATTTTGAAAAAAGTGCATCAAATTATACCAATAAGAACAAAACATTCATGTTGGATTTCTCAACTTATTCAACAACTTCAAAATGCTAATACAGTTAAAGTAATTTATATTAGGCAGCAAATATACCACAGATGCTGTTAACTGGAAATAAAAATAGTGCTGGAAATATCCTGTAGGTCTGGCAATATCTGTGGAGAAAGAAGCAGAGCTATTCTTACAAATCCAAAATGACCCTTCTTCTGAATGCTGGCAGACCAGCTGGGGTTTTCCAGCACTTTTTAAATACAAATGAAATTTTAAACTGTACTCATGGAATTATGATAATTGTCAGGTCCTGTAACTCAAAATTGCCTTAGTTAAAATGTTTATTTATTTACAGCATTAAATTGATGATATTTGTAATTATAATGATCACTATGTTGCATAGAATGAAAGTAAGCACACCTATAGATCGGCAACATTTTAGATAACATGAGAACATAGCTAATGAGATTATCCTGAACCTTTTATTCAGAACTCCGACCTGTGAATGGTCAACTGATTACCAAATAACATGAATTTATTTCACTACAGCATTTTTAAAAAATGCTCTTTTCTGATAAATATTAGTTAACTGCAATAAAGTCTGCTATAAACCTCTTTAATATAAAGTGCACTTTCTCCTGTTTCCATTTTGATGTACTGACTGACTGAAATGAATTTCTTTAGCAGGTTTTTTTGGTGAATAATGGAGACATACAGGATATAAAGGTCCCATGTTCATTCTCTTGTGTCTGCACTGAGCTGCCTGCTTGCAGACAGGGCGGTAACTGTGATGTTAGTTAGTCTCAATCTTCTTGTCTATAAGAGTGGGAAAATGGCCAGGTTTTCCACTCAGGATCATGGGTTAGCACCACCAGCCAGAAAACCAGGTAAATGGACAAAGGGTGGAGGCAACATAAGGCTTAGTTGTGGTATAAACCATAGAGGAATATGCTGGGAACACTTACTGTCAAGGCTCAGACATGAATCATAAGTCAGTTTGTGCCAGATACAGGAGAGGCAAGGGACAAAAGAAAATCTGTTCCGAGAACTAAAAAGGAGGCATTTAAAAATAAAAATTGCATTTGCTTCAGCACAATTTGGATTCTCAAACTAAAAAGACTTTTACTATATGTGTCTTTCACAGCCACAGGATTTCCCAAAGTGCTCGACAAACACTGAGGTACTTTTGAAGTACAGCCATTACTGTCAACATGCTCCCACAAACAGGAAATTGACATGAGCCAGAGACAGTCTTGTTTTTGTATGATGTTGATTAAGAAAAAAACATTGGCTGGAGCACTAGGAATAACTTTCCTGTTCTTCTTTTTAATAATAGATTAATGGAATCTTTCCACTCCACCTGAAAGAGCAGACAAAGCCTCACTTTAAGGTCTGGTCCAAAAGGCAGTAGCTCTGACAATGCAGTACTGCCTCAGCACTGCTCCAGAGTGCCAACTTTCAATTATTGTGTCATGGAATCATAGAGATCTACAGCATATAAAGAGGCCCTTCGGCCCATCGTGTCTGCGCAGATCAAAAACATCAACCTAACTATTCTAATCCCATTTTGCTGCCCATAGCCTTGTATGCCTTGACATCACGAGTGTAGATCTAAATACTTCTTAAATAAGGGTTTCTGCCTCCAGGACCCTCCCAGGCAGTGTGCTCAAGTCCTGCAAGTGGGGCTTTGTACTGATATAAATGCATGTTAAAGCAATATAAATATTACAATTTTTCTGTTGCATTGCTAGTGTCAAACGTAGATGTATTTTGTGATGGTACATTATATCTTTTCAGTTGAAATTATCTGAAAATCCTTTACCTGAATTCGTCAATATAACGTCATTGAATAAAACGACAAATAGGGCCACTTTCCACCAATAACCGAGCATTCTTCAGCCTCACTACAACTTAAAAAAAAGCAAAGAAACAATGAAAGCAACGCAGCACAGGAGGTGATGGTAACGAGACCTGTTTAAATTCGACAAAAGCGTCATCGATAATAACTTGCTCTGTAAAGAGTGAGGAGCTAAGACAACCTTTTAAACATCCCATTCTTATTTGCAACTCACCTTCTCAATATGTGTTTATGATTTTAATGGAAGTGGAAGGAGGCTCCAAGGAGACTTGGTCCTGAAGACAGTTGCTCTTTCTGCTGGACGCGATTTCAGTGACAATTCTTTCTCTCTAATCGGCTTTGCTAAGCTGTTCCCATTATAGAAAAGGCGTCAGAAACGGGTGTTAGCAGGTTGACGAGAAATGAGCGCGCATAGCTGCAATTAATCCTAATGTGTATCTTTCAAAAATCATAACGGCAAAACTTACAATACTATCGTCTCGATACTTCACAATAACATATTATGTCAATGGAATTCCATACCTTCCTTTACTGCCAAAGTTACAATTCTGTAGGTTATTTTATAAATAACACAGGTGAACTTGGAGGTTGAGTGTAAGTTTAAGTTCATTTTTCCTCACTGGAATCTAATTATAAATCTGACTAATGACTGTAATTGTTTAAGTCTTCTCGATTTTCTCTCAGTCAGAATGTTTCTGTGTAATGGCGCCATTCATTTTAGACCTGAAATGACACTTAGATGGTTGGGACGATATTTTACCACGTTCTTGAGTCTGTGCCCGCTCCCCAGCAACTGTTTTTTTTTCAGTCCCATTCTCTTGCCTTTCATGTCTGACAGTTTTTCTTTTTCAGTTTGAGTGCTTATCGAATTCCCGTTGGAAACTTACAATTGAAGCTGCCTCCACTAAAGTCTCAAGTAGTGTAATTCTGATCCTAACCTCGCTGCATAAGAAGCCTTTCCCTCTTGGCCCTTGCTTCCTTTGCCAATCACCTAAATGACAACATCCATCGTTTCTGAACCATATAGAAATAGTTTCTTCCTATCTACCGCATGTAAACCCTCCCCTTTTGAACATTTCATCTTAACTTTCTCTTCCTAAATATTCACCTCAGCTTTTTCCAATTTATCCCTGTAATTAAAGTCTCATTCTTGGAAGCAATCTCTCCTCTCTCTTTAAAGATCTCATATCCTTCCTAAAGTGTAAGGCCTAGAAACAGTGACAATGATCTAGTCGAGGCTAAACCAGTGTTTAACAAAGGTTAACCATAACTTCGAGACAACAAGGTGCAGGGCTGGATGAACACAGCAGGCCAAGCAGCATCATAGGAGCAGAGAGGCTGACGTTTCGGGCCTAGACCCTTCATCAGAAAAGGGGGAGGGGAAGGGGGTTTTGAAATAAATAGGGAGAGAGTGGGAGGCGGATAGAGGAGAGGATAGGTGGAGAGGAAACAAACAGGTCGAAGAGGCGGGGATGGGGCCAGGAAAGGTGAGTGTAGGTAGGGACTTAGGAAGGGGATAGGTCAGTCCAGGGAGGACAGACAGGTCAAGGGGGCGGGATGAGGTTGGTCGGTAGGAGATGGAGGTGCGGCTTGAGGTGGGAGGAGGGGATAGGTGGGAGGAAGAACAGGTTAGGGAGGCAGGGACGAGCTGGACTGGTTTTGGGATGCGGTGGGGGGAGGGGAGATTTTGAAACTTGTGAAATCCACATTGATACCATTGGGCTGCAGGGTTCCCAAGCGGAATATGAGTTGCTGTTCCTGCAACCTTCGGGTGGCATCGTTGTGGC